AGCCATGGACCAAACAAAAACCTCATTTTTATTCAGTGGCAGTGGGTGTGACTTTCCTGAAACTGATGTCACAAGATTTCTCTTTCAAAGAGACGGTTAAAGTATTCACCCTCTCCTAACCTCTGAGAGGGCACATAAAAGCAAACCCAGAAATCACAGTTCAAGCCGCTCAGAGGGAGTTTTGACCTCTTGTCTTGCCCTGACCCACTTCAGTGTGGGTTTTTCAACTTCTTCTTCTGAAGAATTCTTTACTGAAAGAGTGGTCGGGCATTGGAACAGGTTGCCCAGGGAAGTGGTGGAGTCACCATCCCTGGAGATGTTCAAGGAATGTGTAGATGTGGTGCTTGAGGACATGGTCTAGTGGGTATGGTAGTGTTGGGCTGATGGTTGGACTAGATGGCCTAATAGGTCTTTCCCAACCTGTGCGATTCCGTGACAGCGTAAGAGGCGCAAGGATAAGTTTCTTAATTTCTTCCCATGTTCCTAAAGCAACCCAGGACAGCTTTTGGCTCTTCTCTGGCTTGACTGGGTACAGAGTTTACCTTATCCAATGTGCAGGAAAGTGCAGGCAGTCAGTACCTTCTTAAAGTCATTCCCAGGTGCCTGGATACTTCACAGCAGAAGTCAGTATTTCTTTTGGGTAAGCAAAAGCACTGAAAATTTTAAACTGTTTAAGATATTGATAAAGAGAAGAAAAAAAAAAGGCAGGGGGAAAAAAGACACATTCATAGTGTAAATTAAATCCTGTCACTAGCGGAGCTTTGGAGATTTCAAAATCCTTTCCCAACTCATTGGGCCAAGTATCAGTCCTCTCCAAAGAGCAAAAGAGGAACAATCTGCTAAAGATATCTACGGGTTCACTTTGCCTACAATGAAATTAAATTTTCAACTGACTTCTGTATAAAACTTCTTTGCATCTCCACATTTCTCTGGAGGCAAAAATATAAAACTGGGCTATTACATAAATATACGTCACTTTCATGTCCAAAAAAAGATCACACAGATGTCTATGGTTGTAGAAAAGTTTATTTTATGTGGCTATCACGAGAAAAAAAAATGGCAAGAACATATATATATAAAATGCAATTCAAAGATTCTGAGAGCCCTCAGAGGGATAAAGATGTTGACAGCTTTTGTAACAGGACATAACCCAATTATTTAATTTTTCCAGGATACAGTGGTATGTTTACTATGACTGCTAGAAATATCAGCCTTGTGGACTGAAACTCCTTTGGTGCCACGATCCCCAACTTCTCAAAGAAGGAAGGAAGATGCTTACTTAGGGATTAGTCTGCAACAGTCATACCATGAGCCAATGCAGTTACTTTTAGTCAGTACATCCCAGTGTAACCTCTGCCCAGAGCATGGACAGTACTACGACTGGAACTCCGCTGAACTCCCTGCAGCGCTTCTGACTGTGCAATGAAAAATCGTGTCAGTCATGAACGTAGTTTCAAGCTGTTACTCTCACATCACCATCAAGTACTCCACTTATTTTCCCCTTTCTCATCAAATATCAGCTACCAGCTTTTTCCACAGGCGTATTTCTACCCATTCCACAGTAGGCTTTTATGTTGTCTCCATCTCTTCTCCAGCCTCCCACTCTCCCATCAGTCATGCTAGCCACTACTGGCCAGTCATTTTAATATACAGGCAAGTTCACACTTTCATTTCTATCATGTAACAGATGCTCATAAAAGAGAGAGAAGCCCACTGAGTAATTTAGTATAAAGCTAAAAAAGCTCTATACTAAATAAAGCTCTTATGCAGGTAAGAGAACATATCACCCTTGTTAGTAAACAATAGTCTCAGTAATACACTATGAACGAATTCCACTGCTGCTCTCTATGTTCACTCTGATTAAGAAACCTTATTTTAACAGGCTGATTCTCCCACAAGTATTCTCTTCTAAGTACAGACAATGTATTCATTATAAAGCTAATTTTTTAAGAATAATTTAAAGTGTTTTCATTACAAGTAAACTGTCTTCTACAAAACTTGAGATTCAATTACTATATCCTGAACTTCCAACAAGCAATCTTTATGTGCAAGTTGGGAGAAATCTTGAGAGTTGTGAGTATACAACTTTCATAGAGAAGGGCTTTTTGTTTGAACGCAATGGACAAGGAAACAAAGTTTTCAAATACTTACACACACAAATGAAATGCAGTCACACCTTTTCAATGTTGGCACCCTGACCGTAATTGTTTATGTTGGAGCTTAGAGCCAAGGAATGAATTTCACCGTTTCAGTTAGCCAGACACACTATTAGAAGTTCAGCTGCCTTTCCTTTCTAATTGATCCATTCACATGACAAATGATGAACATCTCACTTGTCAGTGTCTTAAGCAGTAGTTTCAAGATCTGAAGTGTTTGACAGAGCTGCTGGAACATTTGAAATTTTACTACCTCACTTTCCTAATTAACACATGAGCTCCAGACAGCCCAGCTGACATTTTACAGTTAGGCAAAGGAAATAACTACTGTTCTATTAAACACTAAAAGTCTGAAGATCTAATGTATTTTCTTAAAAGGCACATGGAAACTTAATTGTTTTTACACCAGGACCTGGAACTACAGTTCATTGCACTGTCACCCAAGACAGTTAAAAAAACTCATCAAAACTATTAAGACCCAGCAGCACACGACTTCCTCACTCTGAAAGAACACAAATCTAACACCGCAAGTGTAACGCAAAGAGTTTATCAGCCACCATTCCTTGCAAGACGAGGTAGGTTAACAGCTTATAAGATGATACTGGTTTATGATTCAGATAACATTGCCTGTGCAAGCAGAGACATTTTTAACTCACAAATGTTGGACAGGGAAGGAAAAGCCTCAATAGTCAGTATGAGGGAATAAAATTTAACATGGCACATTCCCAAATCAGAGAGGAAATCCTGTTAAGTGGGGAGATGACAGGCTCCAAGATTTAGGTCAAAATACTGAATTCATTAAAAACAGAATTGTCCAACAAACGTAACGAGGCCAGTAACTCACTCAAGTAGTGTCTAAAGTCGCTGCATGAAATCTTTCAGTTGATACTGACAGCAGATTAAAAACATCTAAATATTTACATGTTTAAAATAAATATTTACATGTTTAAGCGTAGCTTATCTGGAGTATTTATCACTTCTGTTCCTTAGTAAATTCTGTCTGCATCTGTTTACATGACAGTAAGCCTAAAAAGGCCTATATTCATAATGCTTAACAGCTTCTAAAAGGCCAGAATGAAGTTTTACTTCCCAAATTAGTTCTCTGGTAGGCTCTGCATCTTAGCTGCCAAAATCCATCAGCATCTTTGGCCACACTGGAGAAACGCAACAATCTGAAAGCCCATCTGAAAACTTCCTATATGCATAACAAGCACTCTTTAAGCGTGTATTTTTATGATTCCCACAACCTATTGACTTGTAGCCACAAAAGGGAATTAAACATTGCATGGACAAACTACGATTTTTGTTGTCTAACCACCAACCTTTAGTTTCTAGTCTTAGCACATTGGACAAAGATCACAACTCTGGACAAAACGCCAATTCTGTAGTATTAAAAAAACTTACATAGTATTAAATGCTTGCATTCTTGAAATCTTTAAAAACCTGGGCTCGTGTCTTAATTTGCACTGAAAACTGAAGTTTATATTTGCACATATTTTAAATGTGTGTTTTATAACTGAACTGGTTGTTCTGTTTTCACAGTGGTCATTACAAACTGTTTCCAGCAACAGATAACAGAACAAGATTTAAGTATCTAGTACTGAAAACATTTGTGAAGGACCGCGGTTTGTAACTGGCACCTTCCTCTTTACAGAGATCTTTACAGTTCTCGTATGCTTTGAAATATGCTCTAGAACTTATTTTTAAGAAAGGCCTTCTTTCCCACAGTGTTTTTTCTTAAACACAAAAATACATCTGAACAAGACTGAAAAAGTTGCAGCCGTAAATAAAATTCTCAGAAACAAAGGAACATGAGTACACATTCACATTACTTCTGCAATCTGAGATACTTATTACTTGCTCACACACTTACACTATCACAGAAACAGACCAAATCTTTTATTAAACTTCTTTATACCAAAACTTAGGTAATGTAAACTAGACAGCAACAAAGAACCACAAGCAAGCAGATCTACAGTCTTAATACCCCTGAATTCAACTTCCTTTCTCTGATGCCCATGATGCGAAAGCACGACATAGGACTGGACATCAAATCCAACCCTCCATGACAGTGAAGGACCATGCACTTTGTCATCACCAGAAACAACTACTTAGTCTATGTATTTGTTCCTCCTAATTATAGGAGAGAATGACTCATGGATCTCACTTTTTCAGTGCAGAGGGCAGGGGGACTGGGAGAAAGGGGGAAGAGGCAAAAAACTTCCTTCTAATATCTAGCCTAATTTTATTCAGAATGATGGCAGAAATGGCACCAAATGAGAAATTTAACTCTTTAGATCTCTTTCATAGTTTATTGGCAAAAAGTGATGCAACCCTTACGACTCAGTACTTCAGAGTGACCTTCAGCCTTCTCTCTCATTGCTAACACATTCTATTTCATAAGCAGACTGTTTATCTAGTATAAAAAACCCCAATCTTTTGTTCATTAGTAAAGTCACAAAGACTTTCTTCAGGGGAAAAAAAATGCCAGTACTTGCCAAAACATACTCTAGTAATGCAAAGCAGATGATCTTTTCGTTTGCTTCAAATTACAAGGAACTTGTTTTCAATCAGCACTTGCATACGATCCCAAACTCAGTTACATCATCCAGTTTGATAGTTATCACATACGTCAATCGCAAGACTAAAATGCTGACGCACTCTAGTTTGAAATGGCAACATGATGCAAGCACTCCAAAAAAAGTTTGAGAATAGTATGGATAAAGTTTGATAGCTAAGTTTGTTGCATTATTTAACATCTATCAAATACGGAGAAAGTTGCATTCATTTAATTAAAAAAAAATCTGTTTTAAAGATTTAGTCAGGAAAGAGATTAAGCCTTACCTCTGGTTTACTGAGACTGGATGACACAAGAGAACCTGATCCTACATCCAGATCCCACTGTTTTCTCCCCCTGTTTTCTGGATCCAGCGCAGCAATTCGTCCATCCAAAGTGCTGATAATTACTAGAGATCTGCAAGTTGGAAGCATTCACGGTCAGAACTACAGCAGTGTGGCATTTATCTATTAGCTGTTTTCTATATTTAACACAGTGCCAACTCCAACTTTAAAGTCTACAGATTCTGCAAAGCAGAAATTTAACTTGGTAGCTCTACCTAAACCAACAAGAGAGAGTAAAGAAGTTGAAGTCTCTGGCTGGATGTCAAACTAATTTACATGCTGTAAGAAACTTTCAGAGGAAAATAGCTGACTTTTTGCTCCCACATGCAGGTGTTGCCACAACATCGAATGAGATCATCTTCTTTTGAGATATTTATACAAACAGTTAGATCTTATTTTTTCCAGTAACTTCCACACTGATCTTTAACATGTCTTTTCAAAACAACCAAATCCTGAAACAATTAACCCAGTAAATCAGTATGTAATAATAAGGCAGAATGAAGTTTTCAGTACCTCTGGATGAAGCACTGAAATCCTGGACATGTGACAAGTCTTAGAGTAACGCAAGTCAACTCTCTCCTAAGGCATACACAGGACACTAGAAACAAGACAACCTCCAGTGTTGTCTCCAGTGCAGACAACAAAGCAAGCAAACTGCTTAGGCTTTAAGCAGCCTATCTGTCTGGCGATGCATGGTAATGGCAGGCTAGCTGTTGATTTCTACAGCGCTGGAAACTCATCAATTTTAGCAAATCTTGTTTCTTACACAGCAGTAGAATTAGAAGAAGCATTTCTGATTGGGTTAGAATTCAAGCATTAAAATAAAGAAGAAAAAACACCAACACACCAAACCCAAAAAAACTAAACAACACATCAGAGACAAAACACTGATAAAGCATTTTTGAAGGGCCTTTTTTTTTTCCTTGAAAATTGTTTCACCCTGACCTGAAAAAGCTGGGATGTGCTGGCAGTTTTGGCTTGCAGCCCGCTCACCAATCTTCACAGGCTGTGGGAGCAGAGCTTGATCACTTTACAGACTGCTTGCACTGAGGAGGCTGGATCTAGTGACCCAGAAGGACCTTTATAGACATTGGTTTCAGTGAGAATAAGGAATTGTGCAAATAAACCCCATGGGTAGATTAACTGGTTCTGGGTGGGGGTGAAAGGGCTGGGGGGAGGTAATGCACACAGACATGTATATGAATCACTGCTTTAATGAGGGACACTAAATTATTGTGTAGAACTGAAGCCAATCATATTCACCTGTCCAAAGTTACCAGTGTAGTAAGCTGAAGTTCAGAGAGGCAATGACAGAGGCTATCGTTTTTGTTTAAAGAGGGGAAAAACTAAAATCATGATCTTGAACACATGCTCAAAGACAGGACATTATTGCATCACTTGTAACAAAGGTCATGTAAGACACTGCAGTTTTACACGTAAGAGTAACCCACACATTTTGTAGGACCTTATACTGTACTACAGCATCATATTGTTAATAAATGAAAATTAAACACATCTTTAACCTGTACCAAAAATAATGTAGCAGCTCCTGCTTCTGAAGGTGACCAAGCATCACATTCCTCCGAAAGCTTAGTTTAAGAAACTGTTAGACAAATACCAATTGTGCAAATATTTGAACAGTAGAACACATGAGTTTTTATAAGCTGAGCACATATAATTATTCCAACTGTACAGAAACCGAGACCGGGTTAATAATAAACTGGGTTGCAGGAGACTGTTCTCAAGCACCGTAAACAAGTGTTCGCACACTAAAGGCCTTGGATACACACTGAACAGAATCTGTTTGCTTTATGGTAAAACACCTTATCCGAAGCGCTCCATAAAAGTATTATTCCAAGTGGGTCTATTTAATTTTTATGTTGATCCAGCTGACAACTAGGTTATAAAAAAAGGTAGAAGTATAGCTAGAACAGAGGGAATTTTGGCAGTAACACTGTAGAGAAGAAAAATCCTAAAATCACACCATGAAATGTTTCCTTCCCATCTACTCCCATTGTTCTCCTTTATCTAATTCTTCCCACTCAACTTCTCCCTCAAGTAACAGATGTTTTATGCCTTTGTATCTTACCTTTCCATATTACCTTTCCCCACAAGATGCAGACCCCAACCATCCCCAGGAGTTATCTCAATATTTAAGCCTCACCACCACCACCCAGACAGCAGGTTAGTAACCTGTACCCGCATCACGGCCTCTGGGCACCCAAATCGTGGTGTAACCGCATTTCAGTTTTAAGTTGAGCTGATTGGGAAAGCGAGGGGGAAATTATGCCATCAGAGGGAACCTTTGTACCCACAGCACACTTTGAGAATCTGGTTTAACCAACTGCTACTGCATACCCTAAAAATCCTCACTTCTCTTGGGTGCAACGGTACTCTTTGTTAGTCCCCGCGGCCACCAGCTCTAGAATGGACTTTGTTTTACAAACTCCACCTGAGCAAACTCTTTGATGAGACAGAGGAACAGGAGCAGCTCAGCCATACCTCAAGCTTGCATGTCGGTGCCTTTGAAGTGGAACTAGGTGCAAGAAAAGCATTCATTTCTCTCTGCTTTTTTAATGAGTGACTCATTTTGAACTAAATCATGTTAATGGTCCCATCTTCATCTTGCTCTTCAACAATAATCTTGCTTGTCAGAAAAAAAGATGCTAAAAATCCTTACTCTTGTAATAAAATCCTTTGTTACTTTATCTTTCCACAAATTAAAATCTTAAAACCTGTTCCCCCCCATCTCTGACCAACTCCACTGAGTTAAAATCCTGTCACTTAAACACTAACTGGTGTAAGATCTGCAATTTGTCTACATGTGCCCTGGACACGTGCTAGGGTTATACTTTCTCACTAGCAGATTTTCCTTTTTACAAGTTACTCCCCTTTCTCTGTGAGATTCCACTGCTTGCAGCTTTGTGTACCGTCAGTTTAAAGCGGTGACAAGAGATCTTCCAATCTTCCAGGTAGTCTAATCAAGCACTACATTAACATATTCTGATAAAAGCAATTTGAGTGACTCTTCAAGAAACTATTTCAGAGCATAAAAACAGGCAGGCAACTTGCTTTTTGTCACCCTACAGTGCTATCATAAGTTTGCTGTGGCGTATTTTGCCCATTTCTTACAACAAATTCTTACAAACACCAGTAGGATATGGCTATGATTCATGAATAAAGAGGTGTCCTTTTAGCCATCTCCTTCCAGGCTTTTGCTGGCTGAAGAGGTTAGGACTGTACCTGCAATTCTATTACATTAAAGTGAAATAGTGATATTGTGGATGCATCTTTGGGACAACTGATTGTCAAGTTGCAAGGAAAAGGCACTCCCATGTTAGCCCCTATTTTGGTTAAGTCTGATAAACTCTGTTATTCTTTGCAAAATGATACCTTATCACTGGCTCTATCAGCACCACCTCCTGACTGGGGTAAAGCTTAAAGACGACCTTGACCAAGCAGCCGATTTGCAGAACCATACAAGTTTTCTAAGAACACTACCAAACTAGAGCTCCATTCTGCATACCATCCCACATGAAACACAAAATACTACCCAACTTAAGGTCAAAAGTCACAACTATAATGCCAAGGAAAAGAGGAGTACAGAGACAAACAGCAAATTCCTGAAACAGCAAGACATTTGTTGAAAGTAAGCCATGGACTATAGTAGGGAGTGAATCCCATCATACACATACTAGAGAAGATAAAAACCACGCCACCAACACAAAACCAGAATTGCAATAGTGTCCACAAGCCTGGACCAGAACGAAAACAAATACAGAAAGCAACCACTCAAACTAGGTAGTTACTTAAATCCCAGGATCCATTTTTTCAGGCACCTGAAAAATGAATGTCAGTAAAATGATGAAGACACTTAGGTACTTCACCTTGCCTTCAGGTGCTGCTCCAGAACATACTACAAACCAAGTGATGGAGCAGAAGAAAATCCCTTCTGGGCCTTTACAGATGGCAAGCAGGACTAAAGCAAGGAGCCAGTACAACAGGGCACATACAAAGACATCTGTAATCAGGGCAGGTGGCAGAGACTAAGTTAATACTATATGGTCAGATTTTATTTGAACTTTGTCAGTATGAAAACACATCTGGACATATCTCCCCCACCCTGGCCATCTACAAACAGCCGCTACGTTTAAATGAATATTTTTCCTTACTGTTTCCTATCCTCTGTCGCTCACAGACATGAGCTTGTTATTGAAGGGCAGTTATAATGTTCTCCCTTGAAACTATGCAAAATACCTACTACAAACTTCCACATACACTGACATACAAACAGAATAAAAAGACTAAGATTACAAAGGAAGATATAAACAGGACAGGGAAGGAACACTTATTTAGCTCATCTATAGCCTTTCACAGCGCAAAAACTTTCTATGTATTCAAATAAGCTGGTTTTGTTAGAAAAACAAAGCAGAATTTATCAACACTCTGCTACAACATTTACCTCTATTGCTGCTTCAGTTTAAAGAAAACAAAACACAACCCCAATAACCTCAGCCCTCAAAAGCCATTTGGGACATTGCAAATACCACTGTTGGTCAAACCTGAACTCTAAACAGCCATTCCAATTTCAAAACCTGCAGCATGTTTGTATGTAAAGAGCGCAGTATTTTCACTAACCCTCACATTTTCTCCTAGGAAATTTTTAAAAAATCCTCAAAACCAAGATGATTACATTCATTTGCCTTCAGCAAAAACAGCTGGGGTTTTGGTTTTGTTGGGGTTTTTTTGTTTTGTTTGTTTGTTTGCTTTTGGGTTTTTTTCAGGTTATACTGAACTGTTATATTACACAGCTATTTTATTGCTGAAGGACAGTTAGCTGAGGTGAGTAGAGATCTCACAGAGAGAGATAAAAAAAAATAAAGAAATGCAGACAAATACTGTGGCCAGACAGCTGTTCTATTTTTATTTGATGACAGCAAATCTATTCCCATGCACTGATTAATTAGAAAACAGAGAACATTTAATTTCAGGTTAAATTAGGATATTGGACATCTTTAGTGTATTTTACTTTAATAGTCCAACATAAAATTAATTTTTAAATATTTTCAGGAC